AGGTAATGGTGTTGGTCTCTGCATTCTGGATTCCCACACAGGTAAGTGGTTTTTCTGCAGGGTTCATCGTCGTGGATTTCAAGGCATTTTTTGCAAGCACCAATTCGTTGGACTGCGTCCCTCTTCTCTGGTAACTTTGTGGTTGTTCTGAACCTTCTGCAAAGGTAGAGTTTTTTCTTGTGTTTTGAGTCTCCACAGATGATGCAGCCTGCTGATTCACCGCAGGATTTGGAGGTCTTTGTTCTAGCGTACTTTGTTTGAAACTTTGTCTTCTCTTTTACAGAATCGATGTCTCTCAGCTGCTCCAACTGCTCGTAGATAGATTCTTGAGATTGTAGGTATTCAAGGAGCTTGTCGAAGCGGTTCTGAGTGTTCACAGCATTTTTCTTGTTAGCAGCATAGGTAAGCCAGTCTTTCTTTAGGATCTCTGGGAGCTTTCCTTCAATGGATTTTGTTACTAATGGGTTCTTTATGGCATCTGCATTGTTCAATTCATTTAAATCATAGAGGGCCTTTTCAACTGCTTGGATGAGCTCTATGATTCTTTTTGGCTGGTTACCACGGACAGGTGGGATAGCCTGTAGATCTTCAACGATCTCTATGGCGATGGCAGCTTGGTTCCCATAGCGGTTCTCCAAGACTCTGAAGATCTCGTCTGCTGTGGTGTAAGCTGATAGGCGTAGATCTTTGCCCAGTCTTTCGTCGAGGTTATCAAGCAGTTGAAATTTCTTTACCTCTCTGGACCCTGTTGGTTCGCCTTGTTTCTGCAGAGCCTCCCATTCTTTCTTCCATCTGTAGAAGTCACGTTGGCCCCCTGTGAACTTTGGTAGGGCTGTAGCTTTAAGCTTTATGGCTGCAACAGGGGCTGAGCTGTGGGCTGTGACAGATTCTCTTCCAGTGTCTTTTCTGATACTTGCTGCTTTTATTAGGGCGGCCTTCCCCGACACCAGCTTGGGAAGGTAGACCTCAAGCTCCATCAGGCGACGATTGAAGTCTTGCTTCTCAGCAGGTGGTGCCCAGCGGTTCCAGGTCTGATGTGCTCCTTTGGCTTTGTGCACCAGCTTCTCTAGGTGGGTGAGCATAAAGTCATAGGCCTCCAGGGATGTGTCAGGTAGAGTGGCAGCAATGTCCTCACACTCTGCCTCTGCAACTTTTAAAGCGAGACTCAGTTCTTTCTCACCATATGAAGTCCATAATGTGTCTTGGATGAGGTGCTTTACTTCTTTTAACTTCTGCTGACATTCTTTTTCTGTCTTTTCAATGTCAGTTTTCTGCTGCTCACTTAACTCAGGTTCGCCCTCTGCATCTTCTGCTTTGCACTGCGTGATGTACGCAGCCTCGAGCTCCTCATTTGCCTCCATCACTTTGGAGCCCTCTGTTGTGAGTCTTTTGAAGTTTTCTTCTAGTTCCTCCACAGACATGTCCATATGGGTCCTCATAATATGGTTGGTGAGTCTTGAGCAAAAGTCTTTTTGCTGTGGTTCGCTCCACTTTCAGGTCTTCGAGTGCCTTGGTCTCGGCCATGTTGCCCCCTCTTGGCTGTTGGACAGACAGACAGCAGAACGTTTCCTCCAGGCCCCTGTTGAGTCTTCTCAATCTTTGTGGTGGGCTGTAGTGGAGTCTTCACTGGTAAAACAGTTTCACTGGTAAAGTGATTTTTCACTGTTAAGGCGGTTTTTCACTGTCAAGTTTCTCTGCAGTTACTGTGAGGTGTCCACTTGACAGACTGGGACCAGACTTCCTTTTTCACTCAGAATTCCTTTTTTAATTTCACTAGTTGCACAGATAATACAGTTGATTTGGTAAACGGTGGTTACAACTAATCAGGTGGTCAGTTTATCAGGTGAAAAACCTTCAACAAAAAAAACAACAAATAAATTAGTCTAAATACATTGCTACAATTTTTTATAACAAACGCTCATATAAATATTTAATAATTACTTGAAGACTTATATTTTATGTAGAACAAACATTTACACGTTCAGAGATTACTCAAATAAATTTTGTCTTCCTCTACTCAAAGCAAACAGATCCAAAAAGCACCTCTAAAACTCCAATTAATGAGCTTACCGATAGTCCTTTAAGTTTAAAGTCCCCTTTCCTCACAGGTTTCAAGTCTCTGTCTCTGCTGTCGCACGCCCTGCTCGCTGTGCTTTTTGTTTCTCTCTCAACCGAGTGGCTGGTTTGCTGTTATTTTTCTAGTGCCAGTGCGAGCAGTCAGCTGATTTAATTAAGCGCACCTGCTCAGCGCTCAGTCGCGCTGCCGTGTAGAGCGTGTGAAGAGCGCGTGCACAGTATGTGCAGCGTGCACGGTGTGGGCGGCGCCAGGTTGCCGTGACACCTCCCACTCTATCTTTATGTGGTGCTACACAGAATGGTCGTACCTTCTCAGGCGAGCTAGGCACTCTTGACTTGATCTTCGACTGGTACAAGGACAACAAGGTGCCGGACATCCCGATGCAGTATGGTATCTTGGCAATTTGACTTGGGATCTCTGACGACAGGTTTTGGGGTCTTCATTGAAAAACTGGAACTTGGAGAGACTTTTACATGAACATCTCGGACGACATTTCCAGGATCTGGATTCACACGGATAACTTTTGCAAGTTTGAACTGCCCTCTTAGTGCATTTTGGTCACAGAGCCAAACTATGTCTCCAACGTATCCTGATGCATGCTCAATAATCCAGGTAGAAAAATCTAAAAAAGTTAAATCTGGTCCTCTGGACATTCAAAAAAACAAAACAAAGCAAATCAACAAAAAAATTGTAGAAACGTTTCGTCTCTCATCCGAGAGACTTCCTCAGTCTGAGGAGCTGTATTCAGCTCAGTCTCTTAAATAGCACCGTCTCAGGGTGGATCAACCAGTTTTGCTGCTGACAACCAAAACCAGCTGATCACATGCTCAAGAAGGACCATCAGCATAACAATGGATCATTAGCACACTGATGGCTGTTTACTGTTCACAGAGGGCTGAGTGATACTAGCAATC